AGACCAGATCAAGTTTTTTTTTTGCTTTGTGCTGTGCTGCCTGATAAACTGAAATCGACCATTGTTTTTCTGTAAGGGCGATGCAAGTGGGAGCTTGGATTTTTGTGCTGATTACACTGTTGTTGAAGCAGGGATAAGTTTAGACCCGTCTCTGGCACTGAATGGCAGTTGTAGGTGAACATAGTGTTGGGACTAATAAAATTTAGTTGATAACATCAACAGTTAAAAGTAACAGCAGTGCCAAAATGATTAAATAACATGTTCTTGTCAGATACCCAGTGGATATTTACTATACTGATTGTGCTGTTCAACATTAAGGGCCTTGGTGAGAGTCTAGCTACTGTAGTTTTGTTTCAGTGATGTATTTTTCTTTAAACCCACTATTATAGCCATGTCCCACACTTTGCAACAACTTTGTCCCTTAAATATAGTCTTAGCTTTGCAGTAGCATTGAAACAGTCTGAAGAATGCAGTGTGAAATCTGAAAGCCAGGTCTTTAGATTGGGTTTTAAAGTGTTTCAGTGTTTGGTCAGTTGATCAGGAGCAGAACAGTTAAGCCCTGCACTGTCAGATCTCTTATTTTTATGTATAGTGATAACATGCTGTCACTTTTTATTGAATCTGAGAAAGCATCAGTATCTTCAGCAGTGGGGATTGACTATTCAGTTTTGTGAGGGCTTTCGTCCGTCTGCTTCCCTACTTTAAACAATACTCAAGCTCAATTGAGATGTAAATCGCATCATTTGCACAGTGGAGTAGTTACCCATCTGAAGTGATATAATTCCTCTAGGACTGTGCCAGCTCTGTCCTCCCTGAGTTTTGTTGAGGCTTATATTATGGGGGTTTCAAGACGTTTTCATCAGAATGCAGGGGAATCATGTGCTGATGCCACAGTGCACCATCAGTGCCTCTGCTATATAGTGATTCACATACAAATGAATTAATTCTACTGTTAAAAACGTAAATGTTTCAGAGTAGAGGAGGTTGCCACTTGCCGTTTAGTTGCTAGTGCCTAAGTGATCAGAGACATCATCTAGCCCTTTCTAGAAAGAAATTGGAAAGAAATCTAGAAAGAACATGTTCCACATTCCAGTAACACTTTGTGTAAAAAGTGCTGTTTTATCTGAGTTTTAAATGCTATTCTTCTTCGCTTCCACTTATTTCCTGGTTTGTTAATCCTATGTTGGAAGTCCAGTGGTTTGGCAATATGTATGAGGATTTTAAATATTTGAATCAGGTCCCCTTGAAGTCTTCTATTTTAAGAGTAAAAGACTCATGCCTTAATGCCATAGCATTGCAGTGTGCTTCATTTGCTTTGAGAAGCACTTAAAAGTATCCTGAAGATGAGTGTTTACCTGAGTGCTACAGTTTATGAAGTATCAATATATGAGAAGTTGAAGGCTATTTGAAAAATCTTCAGTGTAATGCAGGTTTTCTACTTACTGTGTTGCCTTACTTAATGACACAATAGTTTGGTAATATTTGATCCACCAATAACAGGATAAGAGTGTTACTATAATTATCATTCTTACTGAGGGGTATAAGTTATCCAGAAATGCAAATTTTAATAACGTTGCATTTTTAAATGGTTGATTCCTAGTTCTTATTTAAATGTTGCACAAGTGAATAACACTTAATCTCAACTTTAAGAAACTGGTGTTAGGAAGTATAGGCAGCCAGTATGTAACATACATTTCAAGATTATGATATCATTGATATCAGTTGCTGGGAATGGGGTGAATCTTGGAAATGCTAGTGGATTAAAAAAACAATCATACTAACATTAGGAAGTGGGGGAATTATGTATTAAAGATGGCACACTGTTTCCTATCAGTATTCCTTTCTTTGCCGTAGGGTTATGGAGGTGGGAGGTTTAAAGCCGTGTAAATAAATCAATGAGCTGTGTGCCATAACAGTGGCACTGAGGTTTCATAACCCAAACCTGCTGCTTAGGATTGCACACCAGTGGGTGGAGGATAATCGTGTTTAGACAGGTCTTCCATGAATACGTAGACTTACGAAGCTAAGAGGGGAAAAGATCTGTTGGATGCTAACATGAAGTGAGGGTTTCAGAGTTCTGCTATTGAAGTGCAAGACAAGATAGTCAAAATTGCTAAATATGGGTCTGTGGTTGTATCAAATGGCAAGGATTGTCCAAGTGATAGCACTATGGGGTTCCCCTGTAAGACTGAGCACCAGGCAAACAGGGCCATTTCTCTCACTAAATGCCTGTTTGATCTATCAGGTTTTTATTTGTATTAGGGTAGTATCGGTTATATGGGCAGTATTTTTCTGTAGAAGAGTTCACACAAAATGTAATTCCTTCCATGTGTCTAGCGCGTTTTGTCTCAAAGGATCCCAAACCTCTTTACTTCCGTCACCTGAGTGACGTGCAGCAACCATTGTGCCAGCAGCCTGTTTATACAGTAGATAAGGTGCAGTAGTGAGACGTAACTTTTAGATGGGCAATATTGTTCCAGTCCAAAGCAGAATTTAGCCTTGACACTGAGACCAATACCTACTTTGTGATTTTCATTTCACTAAAGAAGCCTTTTAAATAGCAAGGAAGCAGGTACAGTGGTGTGTAGGAATATCTAGAAGCAGATTGTTCTACATGTTATAGGAGTACAAGCTACCATTGCTACTAGTAGTGGCATCACAACAGGTGTGTACGTGATTTTTTGTGCTATGTTGAACATTTTACTAATCTAGAGGTCACCTGCCCAAGTGTTTTCTACAGCCAAGCTGCATATTTCAGTAAGAAAACAAGCAAAATTAGTCCACTAATTTTCTTACTTTATAATGTTAAATCAGCTTGATTTAGTTGCACATCAGGTGCTGGAGAGGTTCTTAGGTCTTAATTACTTCTGAAGTAAGTCAGGCCATCAGATCTCTTGTAGCGTGAAGAAAGTCATTAAAACCAGAGGTGTGCAATTCAAAATTTCGGTTAGTTTTTTGAGTGAACAGTTTGTATTATCTACATTGCAATTCACAAATTCAGAATGATTATGGTTTAAAATATTCCAAAACTAGACTTATAGTTCTAATTTATAGGCTGGACTGCAGGCAGGTTTTCATGTATGGTTTATTGTAGTAATAAAGTGCTACTCTGGCACAACAGTGTTAGTGTTGAACTGTTATAGCCATAAGGTTGCGTCTTACATTTTTACATGTATTGGGGAAACATCAGCAGGCATGACCTGCAGCTGAACTGAAAAACAAAGCTAGCTGGTGAACAATGAGACAATACTCCAGAAGATTATTTTTAAAAGATGTTTGAGTTTGTGTGGATGGCTTTAAGATTAACACATTTCTGTGGCAAGTGTGCTGTCCAAGGAAAACGGCACTGCACTCAATTTTCACTTACTTTTGCAAGGACCACAACAAGGAGTGAAGTTTAAAAAGCATTTGGGAAGCACATTATAAAGCAATTATGGTATGGGCACGTTATTCCCTTTTCTTGTAATTGAATTATTTAATATAAATAATGTAAACATAAATTTGAATAGTTATTTCCACTGCAACAATTATTGACACGGCTGCTTCCGTCAGACTTCACTGTGATAAATGTGAAGTGATTTTTATGCATTCCTGAGTTGTGCTGGTGCAGTTTTTGAAGAAACAGTATTTAATGTTTCAAGTTTTTTGTTAATATTCAAGTAGTGCAGTATTCAGATGAAATAATATTACTGCTGTTTCCTTTTGATCTTTTTGATTTTCATGATTAAGACTTGCAAATTATTTTCAGAACCTGGGTGATTCCCTTTTCTTTTCTTCTCCAGTACCCCACGTTATTAAAATGAGTTTGAAAGTTGCTTTATTTCAGAATAGATGTCTAGTTGTCCTATGTTGTAGAAGCTCACCAGTCTCAAGACTGAAAGCATTTCATAGGTACTGTATGTCAATACATACAAAGAATCAAGACCCTGAACTGTATTTGAAACTTGAAAAGTAAAAACCTTTAATTTATTGTTTTAATGTTTGTGCTTTACTGTATTTTAATGCATTTTACTTTCTGTACTTATTTTAGTCTACAGTGCTTTCCTCCTTTTAATGTTTATCTGCTTAAAGCCGATTGGAATATTCAGCACAGGATGGTATTAATAAAACATTTGTTTTAAGGCATAAGATTAAGACACGTTTGCATTATAAAATGTTGAAAATTTACCAGATTAACCTATTTGTGATTATCCCCTTGTAAATTTATTATCCTTACATTTAAACTTCTGTGCAGTTGGATGCAGGTGTGGAATGGTTTTGCAGCAGTGGCTGTGAAGTGGGTCATGCATCGTAAAAATATTTTATGGACTTTAGCACCAACTCAAGCATGTGTTGATAAAGATGGACATAAACATCCTTGAAACAGTGTAGACTTTGTGAAGTTTGAAGTTGTGGCTGGCTGTTTTCTTATTAGTCTTACCACTCAATAACTTGTCTTCACAATGATTTTTAACTTTCTTCGTGTTACACTGGGTTTCTTAATTGACAAATTTTCTCTTCAGTAGCACCTGAAGGTTATGAGTAGATTTTATAGAAGGCCTTCATCTGACTGACTGGTTTGCATTTCCCCTGTGATAAACCCTCTAAATGTCACTGTTTTACGTAGCCACTCATGGCTCATTTTTCTACCATTTAAATCGGTCTTAATTAAAATGCAGACGCTGGAAACGCAACATTTTAAGTGTAGTACAGACTCATGGTATTTCTTATTGCAAAGCTTGTTTAGAGAATGGAATGCCCAAAAATTGAGTGGATTGAATGTAATGATGCTGGAATGTTTAAGAACATTGTGTTTTGAAATAATTGTAACACTTTTTAGTCAGTGTGAAATATGAGGCTAACAAACCTGATGCTTCACAATTTCTTTCCCTATATCTTGTGAAATGCAAATTGTAAGCAGAAATTCCTTGTTATACATGACTGTTGTATGGAGTATTAACCTTCTGAGGCTTTTTCCCCATGTCCCAGACAATTACTTATACGTTTTCTCTTTCCTTTAGGTACAGACATTTCGGTCGGAGAAGAAGTGGCCATAAAACTAGAATGTGTGAAAACAAAACACCCTCAGCTTCACATCGAGAGCAAAATATACAAAATGATGCAGGGAGGAGGTGAGTCTTGATTTTATTTAAAAAAGCACAATAGAACACCCCTTCACAATTTTGGACAGTAAAGAACATTTCTTAACATTGGGCATTAATCCCTTCTTTCTACCATGTGGACTTTTTTACCTGACCGAGGTTCTTAAACATGTCCTATTTCAGTAACTACAGAACTCCTAACAAGCTATCACAAAGCTGTACAATTATTTTTGCCTTTGGTCCATATTCATAAATTAAAATACTAAGGATGTAGCCACTGATGTTATCTGCTACTGATTTTTGTAATGCTGCTTAATGTCAGCACTTGTGATTTACTACAGCCCTAATTGCAGATGTTGAACTGCTAATTTTTTTACAGAGATAAATCATTTCAGGCTTAGTGTAAGTACATATGTTTTTGCCCTTTTCTTTAAATGCATACACAAATTAAACAACTGAGCTTCAGGTCTGGCAAATATTGGGAAGATCTGTGCTTCAACTGTTTTTTTTTCCTATATGCTTTAACTGGCTGAGTCTGCCATTTACTGTGCTCTGCCTGTAGGTCTCTTCCTTGGTTGGCACAGCTCCGAAAATGTCTGAATTATTTATAAATTTGGGATTTTGTTAATTACATTGCAGTAGTTTTAAGACTGTGGTCATCAACAGGTTGGCTTTTTTCAGCCTGTCATGATCACTGGAGAAGTGACATGGATTGTATTAAGCAGCCAGATAGCTGGGTAGCAGATACACTCCATGTTAAAATTTGATTTTATGTGCAGTGGTTAGAGGAGGTTGTAAATCATTTGAAGGAAAGGATGTAGGTGTATTTCCAAGCACATGATCTTCAGGTTGCTGTCACTATGCAGTAAACATTGGTTAACTTAAGTACTAATGATTACAAAGCAGTTCAAGGCTAATAGTTAACAACCAATTAAACAGACTGTTTCAAGAATGAATTAAGTTGTAAAATGAAAAATGTATTAGAAAACACAATAAATGAAGTAGCAGTTTAACTAATTTACCATTTAATACAAAAGTGTTGCTGAGGTCTGTTAGTAAAATACCACCACCTGTGTGGGATTTTTAATTCAGACTAAATTCCCCTAAACATGGATTGTACATTCTTTTCCAATTCTATATCTGAATTCAGAATATCACAAAATGAGAATAAACTATAGTTTGTGACTATTAAAAATTAATACCATCAATAATTTTTTCATAAAGGCCACATGCTACTTCCCTTTTGGCATTGTTTTTTCTAATGCACATTAATACCCAATACGTCATTTTTTCTAGTGATTACTTATCAGGTGATTGTTATTCTAACTTGATGACCGAAAGGGACAGTATCAGAGGATCTGGCTCTAGTATCTGCAAATACCTGTAGTCAGGTGATATAGGCATCTTGTCTCTCTAGTTTCAGAGAAAGTCAGGAAAAACAGGCTACACAACAAATCCCAAAACTGTTAGTGAGTCCCAAAAATCTGGAACATTCCTAGGTAACAATTTGCTCTTTAACAGACATAATACTGATAGGTTGCTAGGGGTTGCAGTAGGAGCATAATGTTGTTGGGTCTGCTATTTTTAAAATAGCAGTACCCTGTTTTTTCTTGATTTTGAGGCATTTAACATCAGTCTTAATCTTCAGCCTTGCAGTACTCGGCTGAATGGCAATTGTCTGGTTTATTTCCTGTAAATATACTGGGTCTGTCAGCCATAGGGTCAGTGGAGGTGCACTCCCATGTGGCTCTGCACATATGTAGACGTCACCTCTCAATACTCTGAACAGCTGCCAGCTCACCCTCCCATCTGAAATGAACAGCCCCATAATGCAGCAAGTTCACAGGTGTTTTTATGGAGCACTACTTTTAATATTTAATTGTTTCCTAGTGCTTTTGATTGGAAAGTAAAATGCATGCCACTCTTTCGATTAGCCTGTCGTAGCATTTTATGGTGCTGCATTTCTTGTTTAAAGAAATGGTTTGGAGTGACCAGTCTTGGTGGTAGCTTCAGGCTTAATGTGTGCACTGATCTGTTAATCTTCCCTCCATTAAACATGCCCAGCATTTTTCTCTTTATATGCACATTGCTCTTTGGCCTTCTGCTAAGTCTGCCTTCCATCAATTTCCTTATCATTTATTCTTGGTGAGAAACTGTCCTCCTTCTATCTTCACTGATTCCTTGAGCTGGCATTTTACATCTTTTCATGGAGTGACTGTTTTACTGTTCATGGTCTCTCTCTCACCCTGCTGGAGCTTAGGAAATTGCTGTACTTACAGTGCATTGAGAAACCTTGAGAACATCAGTACTCTTCTAAGTGTCGAATATAAGCTTTCTTTTAAGTAAAACCAGATATAATTTAATACATATGCAATGGATATAAACTAAGTAAAATACAATGAAAAGGCTTCTAAATTAGGTGTAATAAATGCAGACACAGGAAGTAATGCCATTTAGACTTTCACTTGGATACAGGGTAATGGTCATTTTTTTATAGGGGTAGAATTAGTACTGGTTCTGCCAAGCACAAAACAGAAATAGCTGACCTGGAAGGTGAGTAGTGGAAACTGCTGAGTGATGACATGCACTGCTGAGGAGAATATAGCCCAGGCCTACAGTCTGCAGGGTTTGGTGAAGAAGTGTCAGCAGCTGTTCTGTGCTAGTGCTGTGAAATGATTATTCCATACTCATTGAATCACATTTGTTTGTGTAGCACAATTTCTTTGTAGCAGTGTAGCACAGTTATTTTTCAAAGTCATTGCATATTAGTCAGGAGGTGTGTAGACCTCAATGTAGAATGGGGTGACGCCATGGTTTATGACACTTTTGAGTGAAAATGCAACAATTTAAAGCTGTGATTTCGATAATGCGCTGAATCATATACATGTTGAAAAACAATCTTGCAATTGTTTGATGTGGCTAGTTTTAATACTGAGCGATCCTGCATTACTTTCAAGGTCATGCTTCTGATGTGCTTTATAGCATGCAGTTGTGATATCATTAGGGTATAGGCACTACTGAAGACACTGATGGCTAATGCGTTGACCTTTTTATATCACATCTATATATCACAAATGGCCTCTGTCCTTCATGTTTACAGTGCAGAGCTTCACAACTACGTATTGTAGGTCACCTTCAGTCTTTTCTAAAATCTATTTATACACCACAAGAGGGAGCTGTTACCTTTGTATTTCAATGTGAGAAAATATATGCAGTGATTGTTGCTTAAAGCCCTAATGATATTCACATTACAGGAGGGGGGGAAATGACTTTTTAATGGTGTGATATCATCTTCTTGTACAGTGGGAATTCCGACAATCAAGTGGTGTGGTGCTGAGGGGGATTATAATGTGATGGTCATGGAGTTACTTGGGCCCAGTCTTGAAGATCTCTTCAATTTCTGCTCACGAAAATTCAGCTTAAAGACTGTCTTGCTTCTTGCAGACCAGATGGTAAGGGAGGTAGCCAGTATGTGTACACCTTTTCTCAGTGATTACCCACCTTATTTTATTACTTTGTACTTTATTAAAGGTGAAGTAGAAAATATACATTTATTTTGCCTTTATGTAATATGATAATCTACATTTTGGCATCAGCTTTACCATTTTAGAATATAGCATTGCTAGGGAATACTAAATTTTCCTTGTATTTAACAGATTCTCTAGCACAGATCATAAATGTGTGCACCAAAGATAAAATTCACTTTGCCAAGAATATCATGCTTCTCTGTATTTAACCTGCTTTTGAACTGTTTATTTCAGATCAGCCGTATTGAGTATATCCATTCAAAGAACTTCATCCACAGAGATGTGAAGCCAGACAACTTCCTAATGGGGCTGGGAAAGAAAGGCAACCTTGTTTACATCATTGACTTTGGCTTGGCCAAGAAATACCGGGATGCCCGCACACACCAGCACATTCCCTACCGCGAGAACAAGAATCTTACTGGCACAGCTCGCTATGCCTCTATCAACACACACCTGGGAATAGGTACGACGGGCAATCTTCTTAGGAGGTGTCCTGAGATTGCTAAGGCTTCTCTCCAATTAAAGTTTAGGGTGATCATTTTGTCACAAAATTTCACAGTTTTGTATTGAAGAAGAGCATGAACTAAATGTTTTAGTTTTGTACCTGGCATACAAATGCTTGAAAAGTTATGTTTGACATCCAGAATGATCCCAGAGTACTTTTACATGTGGCAGCATGTGCAGCATTTCTTCAGTTCCCTCTACACTGATTTGTGCATAAGTGTATTCTTTAAGTTTTAGACTAAAGTCTCTGTTTGCGGCTCTTGAATCTGGAATGCTCTGGGTGTGAAAGAAGCTTTTAGAATTTAGTGTTTCTAATTAGGTTTACTTTTTGGAGATAATGTTCCTGTTTTGTGTTTAGGGCAGTTTAATTACTTGGACTTGTTCAAGCTGTTCTGGGGGATTTCTATATGCAGGCTTTTGTTCCATCTTATTTTTCAATCTCTATTTTTTTATTGACTTTAATCTCTTTAGTTTTTGGAAATATCCAAATTCATATTTCAAGATTTTCCATCCCTTCAACTCTTAAATAGCCTTTCCTCAGCTTGCTCACCCTTAATTTGTTTTATAATCAGCAATTGGGTGCGACGATATCAGATACTTCCATGATACCTTTTTTATTTTCAGACCCTTTTTAATCATTTCTGAAACTTAATTTGACACAGGGTTGATGGGAAAAAGGTTTGAAGAGCTGAAAGCAAATTTGGTAATATCCCAAATTTAAACCTGAAATCAGTTTGCCGATGACTTAAGAGCTTACCTTGGAGCATACACACCCAAAAGTCGTCCCCCAGGACCATGGTTGGAACTAATGGTTTAGAACATGCAATGTGCAGGAACCTGCTGAATTCACTTTTTTTATTGTTCTCCTGTGGCTTATGGTCACAAGTTGCCAACTGGATTGTTAGAATAATGTCCCTAGTCCCGTTGTATCAACCTTTGTGGTGTTATACTTTCTGTTGAGATTGCATTGTCTGTAGATGCCTTGAATATCTTAAGACAGTGTGCTCATCCTGTTTGTGTTAAATTATGCATCTTCTGGTATCCATTTATTTATTTTTACACTTCTCTAGATCAGCATTCTGCCACCTTCATATCATTTTGCCAGCTGAATTTTGAAATCTTGTTCTGACTTAAGTTTTAAAATAGCTACAAACTTTCTCTTTCATCCCACAGAGCAATCCCGTCGTGATGACCTGGAGTCCCTTGGTTATGTACTGATGTACTTCAACTTAGGGTCTCTGCCCTGGCAGGGCCTGAAAGCAGCTACTAAGAGACAAAAATATGAGCGGATCAGTGAGAAGAAAATGTCTACCCCCATTGAGGTCCTCTGCAAGGGCTACCCCTGTATGTACCAAGCTCAGCAAGATTTTGCAACAAAGTTGTAATTGTCCCATGACGTTTTATGCCGTGAAACTCAATACTGACCTTTTCTCCACAGCTGAGTTTGCCACATACCTCAACTTCTGTCGCTCCCTGCGCTTTGATGACAAGCCAGACTACTCCTACCTGAGACAGCTGTTCAGAAATCTGTTTCACAGACAGGGCTTTTCATACGATTACGTTTTTGACTGGAACATGCTGAAGTTTGTAAGTGTGGTTTCTTTTTTTTTTATTTAACGCATAAATGAGGGTCAGTCAACTGTACTTTAAAGCTAGTCTCCTCAAGATTCTTTTATTGTCAAGCCTCGTGTTTAATTCCTTGATTCTTGGCAGACATTATAAACATTCACCACCTTTGGTTATACAATGGTCAAAATCCTTAGTCTCCTTGTAAGATGTAAGTTGAATATTTTGCAAGGTATTGGGCAGATTTATGCATTTTACATCTGGCTTTAGGGTGCCAACAGAGCAGCAGAGGATGCAGAGCGTGAGAGGAGAGACCGAGAGGAGCGACTGAGACACTCCAGAAACCCTGCAACCAGGGGCATCCCCTCTGCCTCGGGAAGACCTAGGGGAACACAGGATGTTGCCCCACCTACACCCCTAACCCCAACATCTCACACTGGTATGCACAAAGTTTCAAAGTGGAACTGAATCCTTTTCTGAGTTTAAACAGCTGGTACATTCCAGTGCACCATGGACTTAGTTTGAAGCGTTTCCTTGAGTTACCTTGAGAGTTTTTAAAAACACTTTCTGACTCTCCTTGGCAATATTCAGAACCCTCTGAGGAACAACACAATTAGCTTTTTGAAATGGAAAGACACAAAAGATGCAATTTGAAAACTGAATGTCTGCATACTGGAATTGTAGAATGGTATAACAGAACAAATTATAATTAATACCATACAATTTGCAAAATCGTCCCAAAACAGTCATTCATGTATGGTTATGGATTACTAATGCCCTAAGGAGATGTTTTGAAATTTAGGCCTAATTGGTGGTAATTCTGTGGAAAATTATGGGTAGAACGTAGGTGGATTAATTTACTGTTGCCGTTCATTCTCTTATAAAATTAGTGAGCAACTTAAGTACAGGATGTGGAGACTTAAATCAGATTCCCTAAATAAGATAACTTTTTAAGTCATATACAATTTCTTGCATTAGGAATTTCTTTTCGCATACCCCAGCTTGCTCTCCATGAGACACACAGGCACACAGATGAGGAGAGAGAAGCTTGGGGTCAGAGCGCAGGGTCAGCCATTTATACGGCACCCCTGGAGCAGCTGGGGTTAAGGGCCGTGGGATTTGAACCAGCAACCTTCCAGCCACAGGCGCAGATCCTGGGATGCCATATAAATGGCTGGCAGTGCTCCACCCACAAATGGAAAACCTATGTCCCTGTTCTAAAAATGTATTCACTAACCAAAAGAGGCTTTTTCAACTTAGGATTCCTCAAGCTCTCTTAAGGTGCAAATACTTGTCTTATTAATTGCTGATTAATCTAGACCAAATACTGGTCTAGATTAATCAGCACAAAAACCTCCCACCTTCTGTTCTCTGTCTCTTTACCTACCTGTTTTTATCCCGTTTCTCAACTGTTGATAACTCTTAATCATTTACCCAGAACCTAATTAACCAAGGTAAACCAGACTATTCTGTTGATCACTGCTTCAGACCCAAGTGAACTCTTCCTTTCTTGCTTAGAACCTCATCTAATCGTTGACACATGCTAGATGTTTAACTGTTATCCCGAGATTTTTGAAACTCCTCAGTCATTTCCATTAACCGTAACACTATTACATTTGTAATTTTAGGTTATTCTTTGTTACCGTATGGAGCATTGTCGAGGAAAATTTATCAAGCTGTTTCAGCAGTTTACTTTTCAGGAATTAAATTATGTATTTTTTCACGCAAGCAGATAAAGTAAAAAGTATCAGATCTGTTCATTTAAAATAGTAATGAATTGAATGATTTACCATAGTCAAATTAATCTAAGTCTATCCATTTTGCCTATAGCAAACACATCCCCTCGCCCAGTATCTGGAATGGAGAGAGAGCGCAAAGTCAGTATGAGATTACACCGCGGCGCTCCTGTCAATATCTCATCCTCTGACCTCACTGGACGGCAAGACACTTCGCGCATGTCCACATCACAGGTACGAGCTAGTCCCATGGCACACATCCCCGACTAACTCGGGATCCAAGACATTACAAAACTCCTCAGCACTGACTCTTATTTCAGAAAGAGCCCCCAACTTCCCTTCCCTGAGAGAGAAAAGAAATTTAAATTATTTTCCACAAAGTGGGAACTTTTGTGGTACTTGTTGGAAATTGCAAAATGGTATTATAATCCTTACTGGTACAATGTTGGTGCTAATGCAAGCCTCTAAAGTATCAGGTGCTATTTTGTAACCCTTGCACCTTACCCTCAATATAATATGTCATTGCTTACAACCATAGTAAGCTTTAGGTTAATTAATGAGACTTAGTATTTTTTCCTGCATAAACATTCCAGTGGAGTGGTACATATTCCAGAGTTTTTAGATTTTGGTGTTTCTATTATGTAATGGTTTACACTGGAAAAAGTGGAACACAATAGGTTTTCATATGTAAGAGATCTTAATGTTAGCCTCTTGTTAGCTTAGGAAAAATGTGGATAAATTTGAATCTAATATTACAAATTTCTTATTCCCATCAAGTAAAATGAACAAGGGGATAATTACTTTTGGATTTGTATTTGAACTCAGTTTTTAAATTTATTACTCATTGAGTTTTTTTCCCCAACTTGTTTGGCTTCCCAATCAGTGAAAAGAGTTTAACACAGTTTATTTGCCAAAAGGGTTCACTTCAGAGGAGAATTTTAGTAAACTTCAGTAACTTTTTTTGGCTCGATTCTTTGTCATTGAACTCTTGGAAATGGCAGGGTAAGAACATGAAGAATAAGATTTTATTGAACAGTTGAATGGATTTAACCACTAATACTAGAATTATAAAGAAAATACTATTGCAGGTTGTTCTCTTTTTGCAGTATTCATTAGTGAGGCAGGTTGAATTTATTTCTTGATCTTCTCAAGTGAAAACTGATTTCCAGCCAAATCCAGGTCTTCAACTGTAGGGTATAATCTTTCAGTACACAATGGAATCTTGGATGCACACAAGTCTTCAGTTCCAGTGGCTTCAGTGAAGATGTTCTTTACAGCGTTGGATGTGACTGTAGGGAGGTTGTGGTCTTCTGGCTAAAGCTGTGGCTATGGCTTTTGGCATGGGAGTGTTTAAATTGAAACACGTTCACAATTTAAATGGCTGAGAGGCTGATGTTTATACTCGGCGAGATTGTTTGCACACTTGTTCTGTGGTCTTTGAAGACATTGGCTGATGGTTTCGTAAGAGAATGTGAAGGCATATTTTGGGACTATTGTATTTGATAAGGTAACTAATAAATAAAACCAGCATGTCTGTTGACATGATTTGGTAATCCAACCCTGTAATGATTTTTCTCTGAATTGTATTCATGCTGTTGTGGTATAATTATTCATAGATGAATTGTGCTTTCAAAACAGATTTTTTTTAGGTATTTCCATTGTTAACTGAATTAATACATTCATTATAAAACTGGAAAACTGCAATAGCTTGTATCGCATACTGAACATCAAAAGAAACTTATCACTCAATTTACAGAAGTATGTTTTTAGGAAGTATATGGATAGTGTTTTGATATTTCTTAGTTTAATCATCCATGATCACCTGTGAAGCACTTGGGTTTTTAACGGTTTTGTAAACTTAAATCACCTCATTTAATGAGGTGATTTAACTTGTTGATTGTCTGAAAGTGAAAATTGAGAATGAAATGCAAGTGAACTTTCTTATCAGGTGAACAACTCCATTCTGTCATCTGTATGTTGGAGGCTAGATTGTCGGAGCACAGTTTGTTGTCTAGGGCGTTTCTAGCCATTAGTTTCACCTGCCAAGATGGTACAGCTGAACTGTCGATACGCCTTGACCTGGGAGACCACAAGTCACAATATCTCACCGAGATTGTTGGAAATATCCAAATTGGCAGGAGCATGTAGTCACTACGCAACTCCACTTGTAGTGATTAAAGGCAACATTAATGAAGTCCTGGGATCTCACTTACTACCCTTTCCTCATCCTGATGTGCCAAATTCTGTCAAGACTGACATGCTGTTCATGTAGCAATGGCTTTCTTGAGAGCTGCCAATGTGATACTTATGCTGTGGATATCAAGCTCACAAGATGCGAGCCCCCCAATGTAGGATGAACTGGGATAATGTGGCATCTAGGGCTCAGGACCAATGAACAGACAAGCCTGTACAGGCTCTATTAGAAGATTGGGACTGAATTCCAGAAGACTGCATTTTTAACCTGGTTCAAAGCAGCTGTCATAGATGTATGACCTACTGTATCTGCTGTCAATAGTGGCCACACATTTGTCCATCATAGTAAGGCACCTTGTCGATTATCACTGAAGATGTCAAATTGTAATCTGCACATTAACTAGCAATCTATCTTGTCACATCGAGACCATTCATAAAATGTCAATTTTCAACAAATTCAATAACATTTATAAGTTAAGCTTCTTTTGATATTCAGTGGAACTGTTGCATTAAGTACTTTGGGGGAAGTTGGAAATTGTTCTACAGATTCTGGAATTAGGCTCCACATTCTGTTGAATGTTTGTGAAAGGTTTAATTTTTGCAGTTAAAGGTTGGATTATGAAGTCATGGTTTTTCTGCAGTGCTCTGAAAAAAGGTGAATGTGTACTTTTTGGAGCAGTGAACTTGATTTACTTGCCCCATTGTAATGTATTCTTTCTTCACAAATGGCTGTCTTTTCCCCCCCACCTCAGAATAGCATTCCCTTCGATCACCACGGCAAGTAGCTGCTCGCCACGTTCTTGTTTGAAGGCAGCACCGGGTGAGTTTCAGCTGGGTCCCATATCATTGTAGATTGCACACATACTTGCACATCTCAGATATACGAATGAGCACACACTGTGGCCCAGAAACTAGTGGAAAGTCTACTGCTTTTCATTTTGATGAGCAGGAGAGCCGTCAAAATGAAGTGACTTCAGTATACACTGAAAAGGAGACTGGAAAGGAACCTATTCTGCTGTTAATGGATAAGCAGCGTGATGACTGGTGGTTAACTGTGTACAAAAGGGAGTACAGTAATTTGACTTGCAATTATGCAGTCATGAATAGTTAATTGGAATATTTGATATTCAGGATTGATAGATATAGGGGCTAAAGAACATTTATTCAGAATTTAATTCTGATGTTTCCAAATGCTTTGATGTTAAATTTTGGATTGTGTAGGTATCCCAATATCTGAAGTGCTTTAATACTGCAGAAGTGTACTCTGCCTACGTACACAAAGTATTTTCAGTCAACTTGATTTGTCCCAGTGAACTCACAAGGCATGTGAAATGGAACCCAGATCATCATTCTCTTTATAAGACTATACAGTCTTGCTGCAATATTGGTCTGTATGGACCAATTGCAGCTTTTAATAGCAAATTTTTAAAATATAACCTTAAAAATGTACCTCAGTACATTACCGATACTTTGTGTAAGCATCTGAATCATGAAGAAATACACTCATCTTAGGAGTTCTGTATTAAATTGTTCACAACAGAGCTTGTCCTTTATTCCATATCATAGAAGTGTTAAATTTCGTACTGTTTCCAGGATTGAAAATTTGTCACTCTGATGCACACGTTTGTGCGAACAGAATAATTCTGATAGTCTACAATATACCAAGATGCCTGTTCATATTGTTCAGCTAAATGCTCTGACTTGTTAAACTAAAGGATTAGAAAAAAGTGAAGCACTAATGTGGAGAAACGCAAGATTAACCACAGAGCATTGAGAAACCTTCAAACTGCAAATTAAACATTTATTGGTCCATCAGTCAGCATTATGACATTGAAACGTAAACTTCCATCACAGACGCATGGTAAACTTGTAAAATGCCTGTCCCTTTTCATGTGGTCATTCAGTATTGGGTTGATCGTCTTTTTTCTCGGAATTCAGGATCCTATTTCAACCAGTGTTCTGTATTCTCAATCTTAAAAGGCTATGAAGGAACAAAAGAGTCACTGCTGTGGCCCTTCCTCTCCCTTACTCACACATTTGGTGCATCATTCTCCATTACATGAATTACGACATTGATTGCTTCATAAGCTTTTTTTAAACAAACTTGCAATTTGATAGATAGTACTCATTACATTGTTTTAGTATTTGAAAAAGAGCAACAGTCTTGTTCCGATGTCAAACAAAACTGGGGAAATTAAAATATTTATGAAATTTGATTCAAATGTCCTGCTTTCAATTGTGAAGGTTTCTTTATGATGTTCAGTTGTCCTGTTCCAAATGTTTGATCTTCCAGTAGATGATAGTGCCTGGCCTTGCTGCTTTGCTTCTTGTCTGTCTGCAATGCTTGGGTTGTGCTAGATGCCTGATTACCCAGCATGCTTTTTACCTTGGCTGTCCGAACATTGAAATCCTGTTAATCTTTAATTTTATCTCTACAATAGAATTTTTGGTTTAAAATGCAGAATGATTTGTAATTTTCTGCGTTTTTATTTTTCATTGCATCATGTCCCATTAAACCTGCTTTTTGGCTGGTTCTGTTTCCCTGTTAAAAACCAAGAAATATTGCCAATTATGAAACAAGGTCTGAGCTGCTTTTCACTTCACATCACAGCTGCTGTTATACCTCATCAATCTTTCAAGTTCAGTTGTACAGGTTGAAACTAATCACTTATCCTAGAGCTCCTTTAATTCAAATTTTAGTTGAGCAGTTTACCATGTGAAAGTGATGTGCTTTTTTTTGGCAGTTATCAAATGAGATGTTCAGCTGTTCTTTTCAGCAGAATGTGTAATGTACCATAATCAGAGCTATGATTTTAAGTAGTGGTAAATTATAAACATCCTATACTCAGAGAGCAAATTGCAACCTTGGTCTCAAGTGATGATAAAAAGAGAGCTAATTGCATCTTAAAGGATTTTGCATGATCCAAAAATGAAATCATGGAACACTCAGCATTCTGTTTAAATGCACCTTGGCTCTTGTCTTTCAACAAGCAGTTTTTTCTTCAATAAATCAGTTAATTTGAAAGTATATGATTTGATGCAGTATGACTTGCATTTTGTTATTGCATCAAATGTGACTATATTTTCGTTATTTTACATTGACTTACAGTACTTCCGTTTTAGCAACAATGGCACAATGGTTAGCATTGCTGCTTTGCAGAACTGGGTCCCTGGGTTTCTGGACCTGGGAAGCTGTCTGTATGGCGTTTGTTCTCTTCTTGTTCACTTGGGTTTCCTCTGGGCACTCTGGTTTCCTCCCACAGTCCTAAGACTGTGTCCCATCCAGGGTGTATTCCCCAGCCTTGTGCCCGTTGCTTGCTGGGATAGACTCCAGGTTGCTCAAACCCTGAATTGGATGAAGTCATTAGAGAATGGATGGATACCTCCCTTTTAAAATTTGATTGGCTGTCATTTCGTCTTCACTACAGACTTTAGCAGTCTAGAACAATTTGACGAATTCCCTCCAGTTACAGGGTGTTTTTAGATTATTAATCAACAAACTGACATTGTAAATGATTTTACATTACTTGTCTATTGTCATTCAACTGTTGAAAGCAAGTGCATAAACTTTTCACATTTGAAAGGACCTTAAATGCCAATTGAACAGGATCGGAGTTTGTGATCAATATCACCTGTAAACTGTGCTTGAGGTATTGAGGCAAAGCATTCAGTAGCCATGATGGTAAGTGAAAATAGGCACACCATGTTTCTTAATTAGCGGGCATCTTGTTTTTAACGGAAGACAGTCGGACAACAGCAAGTTTAAAGGAAAGTCACATGGCAAGACACTGGAGAATGTGGGACACTTGTTGTGACTAATCTAACCCCTATTCCTTCATATTCTGAATTGGTGATCTTGTGAAAAGCTTTTGCTTTTCTGTGGATTTGAACAGTGTTTTTCAAATCCACAGCTCCAAGTGAGATTTACAAGTTTGCATGACATCTAAACTGTGTGCATGTCTGAAAGCACAGCTATAACTCCGTATTATTTTTTTTCTAGATGGAAGAATTTTTGCAATTCCTTTCCCCCTTTATAGGTGATCCATGGAATGGAGGGTATTTGCTGGATTGGCTTCCCATCTCCCATTCTTTTGTCTGGGAGATCAGCTGCTATCTTAAAATGTCTTTAGTATTTTGTGTTCACAGCCTCAGCTAGTACAGGTTCTTTAGCAGCAGTTTTCTATATTAATGTCTCGGTACATATGTTAAAAAATTAAAAATGAGGTGTCTTGTTTTATGAAATTTTTCTCTAATTCTGAACAGCCGTTTTTGCCCTTTGTCATAGTTGTTCTTTAAGTGTTTAAAATGTAACAGAAGACATGATCAGATGACTTACGCATGAAATGAGTTTTGATTACTTTTTTCTTCCCTGAATGTTCCAAATGATTTGCTTGGAATTAATCAAACTTTTGAAGTTTTTGATTTTCATTCCTGAAGTGTGGGAGCTCCCTGAACTTGCTCTGCTGTTCCTTTACCTCCTTCTCCCTGCTCCTGCATGCCTCCTTTTTCACCAGACACTGAGCGGGCATACTGCATTCATGTACCAGTAGCTTCACTGCCTTTTTTGTTGAAAGTTTTAATTGGGTCAAAAATAAGCGAATATTGAGTAATATGCGAAGAAGCACAATTGTTCCACATCAGCTAGGTTGAACTAAATTGCAAGCAATGCTGCTTGTGTTCAACGTGGGGTTTTTAAACTTGGTAAAGTTTGCTTACCATTGCAGCACCAAGGAGGTCTCATTCTGTTATAGATGAAGAGTAGGAAGATGAAAAGGCCTACCCTGGGTTTGAGCAGATATTTTCTTCTATCAGTTAATGAAGACATTGATATTCTATTGTCTCTGTTCTCTCTAAGCAAGCATTGCATTTGTCTTGAATTTGTCTAAAGGCGCATGTCTCATTTTATGGCCAATACTTGTAACTTACATGTTTTAGAACTATTTAGAAATATAATTATTTTATTAGACTAGTACAATGCAAAGTATTAGAATTTTGTGATAACATGAAAGACAAAATGAAGTAACAGCATTACTCTTCTCATGTCGATGATGTTCTCTTGAAGCGCCACCCAGCATTTTTCCTACTTTATTTGATCTGCCTACCAAGCCATTTGTAATCGCATGTGTTTTATTTAAATGCAAAATCAAATCATTTATCGGAGGAGTTTTTACTAAGTGTATACCTTTCAGATCAGAGGTAGAACTGAAATATATGAATATCCATTTTTTCTTTTTCCATCCATAAACTGTAGTACAGGGACATTGACGAATATGACATGAGCTGTGTGCCAAATGTTTTTGTTAAAGCCCCTGTATCCAGAGAATATTGTATAGTAAACCTTCTACAAATCTGTCTCCCTCACATACAGATCCTGTCTCGTGTGACCCCCAGTGGTCTCCAGTCTGCTGTACCTCGATGAAAGAAAACACCGCGCCATGGAGGGCTGATAATGCATGGCTGATCTGTAACTAATACTATTCCAACAACTTCACTTCCGCAACTACCGAAAACTCAGTCCCAAACAGCAGATTCTTTTTCAATTTTAAAAGGAAAAAAAAAACATTTAAATGCCTTTCAGAAAGTAACATACTCTCTCGGAAGATCACCAACAGGAGACGGACCTTTCTGCGCCGTCGTTGCCTTTGCCACTCTGGCATACCAAGAAGAGCTGCCCGCAGCCTGCAGCTGACCGCTGCCATGGCCTTCGAGAGACGCTTCACTGAGCAGACCGACCACACGGAATAAAGTATAATCGCCATTTCTCTTCTCCCTCCACTGTTGGCCGAATAATTTTACTATCCTACTGTATGATGATAGACATTAATTCACTTTTTTTATATTAAAGCTAAAGTCAACAGGCTCCGGTCTGTTTAGATGCGTAGTGTCGGTGTACTGCTTTTGTCTGTGATTTACACGAGGAAAAAAAAAAGGAATTAGAAAAAGCATTCATACTTCAAGAAAAGACTTGAAATTCCTTCTAAGATCCGTAAAGGTTTCATGTGAATTTCTAACTGATTTTATTTTGTCATTTTTATTTTTTAGTTTTTATGAAGGCCCCTTTCTGTTTCTTCAAAGTTGATTGTAAGTAACTTCCCAAGTTTTAGCACTGGTGACCACTACTGTGCAGTCGTCTAGGTTGTCTGGGAGGACTGTTTGTCAGATTGTACGCATTAACAAGTGAAAGATCTGTATGAAAATGCAGAAGAAATCAAAATCTAAAGGGGTTTTTGGTGTTTTTTCTTACATATTTTAATATTAGAAATCTTCGAGGGTTATTTTTGTTTATCTGAGAGACTTCCACATCAACACCATCTTGGTCAATTGACTGTTGCTGTATAATATATTGCATTCCCTTATTTTTTATTTCAAAGCTGTGAAATACCTGTACAATAGAAATGTAAATGTTTTCCATTGGTTGTCTGGTGATTCTTACTCAGTTATTCAGTCCTACTGTTTATCAGGCCTCACTTAGAAATGTACGGCTAGGTGGCACCTGATATTGCTTGAATGGCTTTAGTGCTTGTGCCTCCACAACCAGCAGTCCTGATGTACTTATTTTGCCAAGTCACTTCAAAGAAAGTCTTTCTTTGTGTTTATTTAGATCTCTTTTTGTTGTTCATTTAATAAAGGACCCTTGCTTTTCAAATCCATCTTTTCAGTGGAATGAAGGCCACTAAAAACTGTTCCTGCAATCCCAGTTAACACCTGTTTTATGAAATTAGACTAACTTGTACCATAACCATCTAATTGGGTAGAAGGTTAGTGTTCAAATTCACTTGTACTTGATAACTGTTTCCAAAAGAATCGCTCTTCTGAGAAGCACTGGTGCTACACTTGTGGACTTATATCTCCTCTTGATTTAGGTAATGCTTGATGGGAATTATTTTTATATGCATCTGCTCTCCATACCAGCGTTCAGCTGTCAAATAGTTGTTTTCCGTTGAGAATGGAATAGAGGAGAGGATAGGTTGGCTTCTTTTCACATTAGACTGTTAAAACTTTAGCCAAGGAATGTAATTTTAAATGCCATGAAAGTAAATATCTGATATCATTCAACAAAGGTATTGTCGGGATTTCTCCCTTTGTGGTACACAGGTATGACACTTAACTGCTGGTGTGAACAGAAGCAAGCAAGAGGGAAAACCTCTGAATGAAGCTTTGTGTTCATCTAGTATGTCTGCATTAGGAAGTTTACCTTCCAAAATGATTTGCTTGCAGTTTGTTCATCTTCAATACGATAACCTAACTCTTGTGCAATGTAATGAATGAATACAAGACTTGATAAAGTGCCATTTTGGCACAAACTTGAAATCGTTTTTAAGTGTAAAGGTTTAGAAAAGGTAGCCTGTCATGGGATGCAAGTGTTTCCAAATCGGCATTGGTGAGGTTCAGGATTGAGGCGCATGCACTAAAGCTTCGGATCTTTTTTTCTTCAGTGAACGAGTTCCAGCTTTAAAAGTGCTGCAGGGGACAGAAGCTTCTGGTTCGGGGCATTCTACTTTTAACATGGCTTCTGTATAATATGTCATCAATGTGACAACTCTGGCTGGTGGAGGCAGCCCTTGCTTTTGCCCTTTCAATTTTCCCCTGCCTTCTACCTTCCACTGTTTCCCCAGTTTGAAAGCTTTTAAGGCCATAGTGTCCGTGTCTTTTCCAGTCTCTGTCCCTTTACTGCTGGCTGTACTCCTTTCAACTCCTCCATACATGGACTCTGCTGTATCCTGTGTAATGGTATTCTACTAGCCCTGTAAAACTATTTTTTTTGTTTGTATTGCCACTGCATTTGTGTACTTTAAAATTGTGTAAATAAATTAATAATTACTTGTTCTGTTGACTCGTTTTATCAGCAATCCACCTGCACTAATGCTTGCATCTAGGACAGTTCCAAAACAGCCACAATTTCAGTTTTTAATGCTTAAGAAACTGCAAAAATCTGTCAAATGTCAATACCTCCCAACTCTTTTTAGGTCACAGATTACATTTTCTAGTGGGTTAGTATCCAGCGTTTTGAATGAAAACACTTTGGTCCTTCTATACTCCAGACTAGTAAAACTATGTAATGAGAGTACTGGAAGAGTTTTAATAATTTATAAAGCACCAGTCACACTAAATGGTTATAAAGGAAAAAAGTAAAAGTTAAATGAGAGCATACAGATAGCCCTAGTAAAAACATGAGCATTGAGTTTTGATTTGTAGAAAATGTATTTTGTAGAGTCCCGAGTTGTATTCCATAACGGAGAAGCAGCAACAGTAAACGCGTAGTCACCAAAAGTCCAAGATTTAGTCCAATGTACAGTGAACAAAGGACCGGCCTCAACTGATCGGATAAAATACAAGTAAAGTGTACACTGTAATTTACATCACGAAATATCTAGGCAGGCGCAACGCCATATTCTGCGATTCAGAACGAGGCAGAACTCGGAGAGGTGCAGTGGCTTTCTTGTAAACACACAGGTTTGGGAATACATCTCTAAATCCAATAGAAATAGTTCTGAACTTAGACGATTTTGCCCAGTCTTGTAAACGCTGCATGCAAATCACGTCGGAACATTTTTGCGGTGAAATGTCTGCTGCACAATCTGTCCTTATTCGCTCGTACATCGCTTTACATTAGTCATTATCATCATGTCGCAATTCGTGGGAACTCTCGCCCTTGCCTGTGCTGAAACCAGGGGTTTGCGACAACATGGCGATTTACAGAACTTTAACAAAGTTTAGAATTTTGCGCTTAATTCGAAATTGTGTATATATAATATATACACCGTTAATGTATTGTTTCCTAGATTTTATAACTAACCTGAGAAATTGTGACTGCGGTTTCCCTTGTTAAATTGTTAGACTGTTAAATTCCATGATTTGGTTAAAATGGTGCTACTTTTTTCATTTTAGCCAGCAGGTGTCGCTGTTGATCAATGTTTGCAATATTTGTCACAAAGGTGGAACTTCTTGAAAATGAAGTTGCCATCTTCAATTACTAAAAGTATTTGCAATTTAAAATTGATTCCAATTAAGTATTTTTTTGCATTGAAAAGCTGCCAGAGTTGAAGCCAAGGTTTAGTGGCTTCTCTGTCAAAACATCATGGCTGTTCCTATGACCTTTCAAAAGGCATGTCTCAAATGAAAATTATCACAAATCTATATAAGATCACTTTATTGGCCATATACAATTTATTGTATTAGGAATTTCTTTGCATACCCCAGCTTGCTCTCCATGAGACACACGGGGGAGTGAGAAGCTTGGGGTCAGAGCGCAGGGTCAGCCATTTATACAGCACCCCTGGAGCAGTTGGGGTGAAGGGCCTTGCTCAGGGGACCAATGGAGTAGGATTCCTCTGCCGGCCATGAGATTTGAAACGGCAATCTGCCAGCCAAAGGCGCAGATCCTTCGCCACAATGCCACCACTCTGCCCTTTGATGTTATCAAAGCAAAAAAAAAAATACAGAACTTTAAGCGGTGATTTTGATTGCTTCTGACTAATATTTGGATTGACACATTTTCAGTCAGATGATTTCAGATGGTTTCTGATAGATTCCAGACAAATTGGGGTTCAGCCTGAGCTAAGGGTTAGGGTTACCTTTCCCCAAAACCTTAAACGTTTCAACACATCATGGCTGTGTTCTAGGTTGCAATTGTAATGTAAGAATTGTAATGTTTTGCCTTTTCTTTAATTTTTTTTGGCAATTTTCTATTCATGTTGCATTTTGTAACATTAATTGCAGCATAAAATGGTCTGAAATCAAGCGGTTGAAAAACATTCATCATTCTAACCTCTCCTATTTTTTTTTGCATAAACCAACATTATTTTAATTCTAACCTTTACTCAGTCTAAAATTCTAAAACATGCTAAACCATACGTTTAAAGCAGGATTTGACTGGGATTCATATTTAGACTAATCGAAGCACATTTTCGACTCAGGTGAGTAAAAGGTTTCATGTAGATATGCCTGAAAATTGGAGGTTAAGCATGATTCAAGGTTAGCTTTCCAGCAAAATGTAGATATTGAACTAATTGTATTTCATTCTATATTTAATGTAATCCTTACTTAATCCCAATATGAAAAATGCAGTTGCTTGCTGTTATCTTCATTTTTTTAAATGGCTCCAAACACCTTCCCTTCCCCCTCAAAATCCCAATTTGTGAGAGGATTTGTTGAAAATGATGTTTTTCCATTTCAAACAAGATCCAAGGATTGCTCAAGCGCTAAGTTTCTTGTTATGCAGGTTTGACATCTTCCTTTCAGTTGTAATTGTGGTTTATTTTGTTTTTGCAATGTTTTCTTCTCCTGGCCACTAGCCAGTCCCTGGGAGAAATTAGATTGCATCTTCTCTGGCTTCCTGTATGACCAGGCTGATTTATGACATGTTGGTGTGCAGCTGACTACAGGCTATACAGACCGTGTTTTAAACACTTTCATATAAACCAGAGAAATTTGTTCACATTGTCTTCAGTTTGCACTTTGTGGACCACTTGTTTTTTAGTTTATGTATAAACAGACATACCGAGCAGTGATGTCATTGCTCAGCTTCACTGATCCAATTGGTCCTTCTCGCTGTGCCTTCTGTTAAATGTGCATGATAATGAACAGTAGAAAATATCACAGGGTATTCACCTCCCTGGGTTTTCAGAATATTTCAGCCTTTCTCATGTGTGTGTAAACAGGAGAATAGATGTTAATAGGTGGACATTCAACCCATGTGGCATGTTTCATAGTAGCTTATTGATCCAAAGATCTCATCCTGCTTTGCTTAATAGAAACAAGCTTATCTGCCTCAACTACTGTATGTGGCTGGGTAGTTTGTTCCATACTTCTACAGCCCCTTGCATTGAGACGTGCCTCATATTCCCAGTTTATTCATGATTTTAAATGTAAAACCACCTCGTTTTCTCTGTTGTAGGGGATGGCTTGATGCAAAATTGATTTTTCTGCGGATTGTGTGGTTGAGATTTCAGAACATTCTCTTTAGTTCATTTTTCTTTTATTGAGAGTGTTCATCTTTGGAAATGTGTAATTTACTGACTCATGGGACTGAATGAATAAAATAGTTTGCCTTCTTCTTAGTATCCTAGAATAAAATATCTGTGCATTTAGCCTGTTTATGTGGTTTGTGTATAAAAGCATGAGAAATGGTTGCCTTTGAAGTCCGTCTTCAATCACCACCTCTCATCTACGTTTCATCACCATAGCGATAGGGAGGGCAGTGGTGCTCCATATTGATTACCATGCAGAGCTAGCGACATAACGGCTGTAATCAATCTAGCAAGGACAGCTGGCAAGGGCATTTTAGCTATATACAACAGCTGTTTGGAGAGGTGGAAATCTTAAAAGGGCATGATGTTTATTCGATGTAATCTTTTTTTTCTTTATATACTGTTCTTCTTAAAATCAAGGTGGGTAATCATCCTTACCTACTGAGCGTCAAATGTGTCGTATTTTTGTATAAGAATTTTGAATGCTGATTAAATGTGTCTGGCGTTATTGTTTTCCTCATTGATCGTGAATGACAGTGATGTACGTGAGTGATTGTTGCATATGCATTAAATCACTTCACATGTGAGTGTTCAGTGGGCATGAGTGATGAGGTGACGGAACCTGTTGAATCCCAGCATAATTTCCAGGCTAACCCCATGCACTGCTTGCATATTTAAATGGAGCAATTGAACAGTTCAACCGATGTGTTGGGTTTTTTTCCACGGAGTTCAATACATGCAAAACAGAGTAAGGCAGAAGACAGAAGAGTGAATTTCCAGTGATCAGGGTTAGTTCATGAGGAATAATGACATCTAAGAATCAGATGCTGTCTTAAGGTATAATAAGTTTTGGCTTAACCTGCTTGGTTAGGGGGTAGCCTCCTGGTCAAGGGGATGGTGATCCTTGGAACCCTATTCAGAGAGAGAAGCTGATCCTGGGAGGGTTGCAAAGGTGGAGGCAGGGTGAATGCAACACAATGTAAGGTATGTGCCAAAGATCTGAATAACAGAAGTAATGATTCCAATTTAAAACGGCTGGGAACTTCCGTTTATGAAAGGGATCATGAGATCCAAGAATCACGTGCTTTCTGTTTATTAAGTATAGCAGTATTGGCTTGACCCACTTGGTTAAGGGGTTGCCTGCTGGCCATAGGATGAGGAGGCTTGGAACCCCAAAAAGAAACATGTAGTCAAGTGAATTTTTCAATATTCAGTAAAACATGCTTTTGTAGAAGAACTGGAGCGGATTAACAGGGGAATTACAGTAGATGTCAGGTAGCCCACACTGTCCAAATCCTGCATTAAGCGGATTATGGGATGTGCTGCTGCTTCCTCTGGGGCAGTGTTATACCCAGGGTCTTGTGTCTTGAAGAGCTTAGGCATTCCAGAGAAAAGAGCAGAGAAAATTCAGCAGAGCACCAGTTTTCAACGCTGTCATTATAGAGAAGCCAAGAAGTTTTCCCTAGGGTTCTGCCAGCATGGTATTTTTAACTGGGGTTTTACCGTCTTATTTTTTTCCTCTTAAAAGTGTTGTACCCCATTTCCTTTTTCCAGATTTATTTATCCTCACAGTTTCTTAACTGCAAAATAGAGGGAGGCAGAAAGGGGCTATAAAAATCCACCCAAACAAATAATCAAATATGACTTTTCTGAGGAATGAGTTATTATCATGTCTGAGTTTAGGCAACTTCTGTCAAGTAATACATTTTTATAATTAGTAAGTTTGCCTCCAATTGTTTTAATATCCCAAACATTTATTTGTTAAAACGTTCTGCAATCGTCTTCAGCCTTTGTCTTTTTTTTCTTGACAGGACATGTTGTGCTGTAGAACTTATGTATCTGAAAGATAAATATGGTGCCAGAAATTGTGATCTTTAAAATGTTATATCTCCTTCGATGAGTTTAGTGAGAGAAGGTCAAGTGTTGCTGTCTCCGTAGAAGCTGCCGTGACAACTGTTTCCAGGGGTGGCCACAGTTCAGCTCCTTGCAGGCCGAAATAAGGAAGCTGACCATGTGTTTCTGGGGAATCGCCATGCTTTCGTTTAACAGAGCTTGGATCCTCAGCTAGGTTCACCGAGGCAAAGGAGTAACATATTGGCTGTATCAGTTCCACTGTCTTCTTTCTTTTGACAGCTGCATGAGCACACTGGAAAATAAGGCTATCTGTGAGTTTTTGAGTCACCTTTCCTTAATTGTCCCGGACATGATTAGGGCTAACCAGTGCTGGAGGGAGTCCGTGTGATTGCAGTCAGCACGAATTAACCAATTATATTCCCTGTACCACCCATAGAGAACAAAGGCTTGCTTACTGAGATCCTCAGACACACTCTCTTGTTTATACTGTTCATCCTTGGGTCATTTGGTAACCTCCATAGTAACCTTACAGGAATAATAGCCTAAATTGAGGATTTTCTCAATGACAAATCAACAAGTGTTGCAGTACCATGGCAAGTCAAGAATACTAATAAAGTCCACCCAACACTGGTGGACTAGTGTCTTAGACAATTGCACACTTTTACTTTGGGAGCATTCAAGTCCCGTGCGGCTAATGAAGAACCACTTTCTGGTTTACTTTGTCAAATGTGTTTTTGTGTATTTTAAGCATTTGAGTCCCTTCTCTTCTTTGCCTTCTTCCTAGGCTAAAATGTATAATACCAGTGTGATCCACCCTGACTTTGAAAGAAGAATTATCCTGTGTCGTGGGTCCGAGCCTGGGCCATAGTGCTAGCCAACTGTGACCAATGTTCCTGGAGTGACAGTGCACAATTAGCAGTGGACCAGGGTTCTTTCAGTGAAACGGTATTTCCTGGCTTCCGCAGGCTTGCAGTGATATTAATGAGGGATGCGCTGTTACTGCAGATGTCCACCAACCCTTCTGTACAGCACTGTGGTACTTGTCTGCCTCTTGTCGTTCTCCAGGTGCAGGACAAGCGCTGCTGAACAGAGACATCTGTAACTGTTAGCAGTGCCGAACTGGATGGGTGTGAGAAGCAAAATGTAAAAAAGTTTAAAAACGCAAAATTAAGACAGTGTTTCAACAGAATAAATATTTATTGACTAGGTTTGCAACAGGTCACTATAAAAGCATGTAAAAAATACAGTATCTTCTACAGGTGAGGTGAGAGTAAAGTGCATTCGCAGAACAGTGTAGACGGACAGGGCAATCCTGGCCGTAAGATAACGTTTTTTAAAATTTTCCTTGTTTTTCTAATATCTTAGAAAATTAAAACATTTTTTTTACAGTTTCACAACCCTCAATACTACCTCTTCCCTGCACTCTGGAGGGGGTCCTGGAATGACTGACTTTATACTGGCTATAAATGAAATAGCACCCCAGACTGAGAAGCACACTACAGCAGACTGAATTCTGGTCAAAACAGCAATAATAATATTGCAACAATATAAATACATTGTAGCTGCAAACAAGATCATTAGCCTTCTAGGCTTAATGCTAAAGACGACTTGAGACAGCAGACCTCTACTTTTCTAAGTATAATCTAATGACATTTGATTTGGGGGGGGATTTTGCAAAGGACCTGCAGTTAGCAGCAGTACAGGGCTTGGTAGTAAAAAGTGATACAGCAAGATCAAGGATGGTTAGTGGAGAATTCCTGATTTACCTGCAGTGCCCCTTGGTTTGAAATGATAAGTCTTTCAGGAACGATGTGCCCTGGGTTTTTAGGGACTAGAGAAAATCAGGTTGGGGAGAAAATATTGCTTTTATTTTTATCTATGAGAATAGGAATTGAAATGACCTTGATATTGTAGTGCTATCCTTACACTTGGGGAAGAACAAACATCTAAATAACAGAGAAGGTAGCGTTTGTTCTCCACTCGAAATTAGTAAATGAGATCTAATGGTCTATAGTGGCCTTTTCAACTGAAAGCCGTATGGTCTGGTAGATGAGAAACTCTGCTCATCGCTGGTTTATCCCTTTCAGAGTTTAAGAACAATAACTCTGCACCATGACTAGTCTTTTCACCAACTGTCAATAGCAGTAAGAAAATTAATGTGATTTTCTCCGTGCATACAACTTTAAAGGTGAAGTCTTTGATTTCAAGTAAGTTTTGCACTTACACAAAAACAGTTTCAGTCTTTTTCCATGCTTGAACAGCAATATTTTAGAACTACAGTATGTACCACTGTGATTTGAATTGTGTAGACGTACATTGTTATTCAGGGAACACCGTCTACATGCTTGATATGTTACAAAAGACTCAGAATGTTATGACCCACACCTCTGCCTTATGCTTGTGGGAGTTTCGATCTTTTACCACATTCCTCTGTTTCAAAGCACTTCATATGGACAAACTGCCACATTTTGTACAGGACTCTTTGAACGGGAATGACAATCTATGTTAAAAGTGTGGTTAGTTTAGAGACTTCCGGGCTTTAAGAAGGCTAGTGCAAAATACTTCCTGCTCAAAATTAATATTTGAACATCTTCATTAAACCCCACTATTATTTTCTTCTTCTGTCAGGAATGTGGATAGTGTATTTTTATGTAATCCACATTTCTCAAAAATACATAGTATGCGTGTTTGCATTTCATAGGAATGGTGTACTGTTGCATAGCTGTATATGATTAATGTGACAGACGTGACTATGCACTTCAGTGTGCATTTGATCAAATGGGGTTTAGCTTTCCTTTTTACCATCCCTTCATGCCATTAGTTTTTGGACACCCACAGGGTGTCTTTTCTGCACATAATTACAGAAGTGCAAATTAGAATGCTGACAAGGTCTATTATTGTGTAGCAGTTTTCCTGGTGGTAATGTGGCATAAGGTACATTTTCTCTGTTGTCCTCATGATATAAAGACTGGTCCCAGAAAGATCAAAGATGGCAGTGCTATGTGGCACTTTATGCCCTTTTGCAACACTCAGAAACCTGGTACATGCTATCATGCTCTTAGTAGCACAAAGACGAAAGCAAAGCAGTCTGCTTCAGTGTGCAGAACCAAATGTTCATCAGCATCAAAGATTAATTCACCAGTTTAGGACACCCCTCCCCTTTTCAGCTTCAAGCAGTTTACAGTCATTATGTTTCTTAACATGATACATTGATACAAGTCATATAGGAACACTGAACACACACACGCACACACAAATACATAAATACTGTTATAGAGACTATTACAATGTTCAGCATCCAGCAGAGCCTGCAAAAACACTACAGGACAGGCGCCTGATTTACTGAAGTAACTGGTCTGTTCTATTAGCCGTCTAGCAAAAGGTTCTGTCTCCGTTAAAACAACTCAGACAAGACTGAGACTGAAGCTGCAAGGGCATAAAATATCATGCTAATCCCAAGCAGACTGCTCAGACAGCTCAGAGCTATTGAACTGATCCATCTCAGGCCTCTTTCCAGGTTAAATATAATATCTTTGTACAGTACGTGTCCCTTCAAACACCAACAGTGAAAAAGATGGAAATTTGACCTATACTTTTGAAATTACTTCTCACATTATAGCCTTCTCAATGACTAGGCTCCTAATAATTCTGAATTATGTTTATTGATTTAGTTTTTATCAAATAAAATGAAAAAAACATCAGTTTTAGCTCATTTCACAGGCACCAGGTCTTGGAAAAGTAGTTAATCGCCCACCCTATGACACTAGGTGATAAAAAACAGCTTCATATTGCACATTATTTCTCTGTGACATTGGAAATGCAATAAAGTGATCCATGTCTTCAGTCAATCGATCATAAAATGTGTAGAAAAACGAAGGTAACTAGACAGTATGCTCTTTATAGAATTGGCCTCCTCTACAGAACACCAAGCCTTTTGAAGGCAGTAGAAATGTTGAAAGGTGCATTATACTGAGGAACAAGACCTGTGTACTGGTGCAAATAGATGGTATTCCAATTAGAGGTAACGAAGAAACCATATCCAAAAATGTCATCTTGAAAGAAGCCAGAGTGTCGACTTCATCAAGATAGCTGGGTTGCTTGTTCTGTATTTCCACAACTCTTCTTCAGAAGGTACAGAGGTACTTGAACAGAGGTTTCAAACGTGGAAAGGAACAGTACAAAGACTACTTATATTGTACTCCCTAGAAGAAGTTAAAATGCCTTTTAGATATCTTCTATAAAGGATTGTAATTGTATGTCCTATTTAAACTTGCAAAATATATGAAGGACTACATTAAGACATATAGGAGGCATTTTTCAATGCATACAGTTGCCAAAAAGGGATTTTGTAAATTAGAATCTTGATTAGAGAGAATTTGTTTTCATATATGACTTACTGTACCACCCAGTATTGGACAGGAATTGCTTTAATGGAGACAAAAAACAGTTGGAAGAGGCAAGTTACAATTAACTGTGAATGCTGAATTGTGGATGAAAAGGTAACAAAATATGCTTGCAAATAAAAGTTAAGAAATGAATGAAATGTGTACTCAGAAAACAGTCTTTCCCTTTTTTAATTTCCTAATAGCTAAGGGAAGAGGTGAAAGAACACTGTTGTTTAATGGCTGTTGTAACTTTCAAGCACAATACTAGTTCAAGACACAAATGTATAAAGCCTCGGTCAGACAGAAGATTAAAAAATCTTTGAAAACGCCAAGCTGGCCTGCTGTGACACTTAGCTGTGCTGCACAGAGTGCCGATCAAAGTGAAGGACCATAAATGGATGTTTATTTCAGCCTCTCAAGATTGTGAAGGGTTGGAGCAAGTGGCCAGATGTGTGCAATAGGTTTTAAACTCCTTGGCCCGACTGCCCAGTTGGAATAGCCCATTGCAAAAGGTGAGAATTCCATTAATTGAAAATCGAGGTTCCGTCTGTAAGAATCTCTGAATAGGAAAATCGAGGATCCAAATGTAGGAATCTCTGGTTATGAAAATTGAGGATCAATCTGTAGGAATCTCTGGATAGGAAAGCAAGGCTATTTTACTCTACATCTTATTTAACGCTGTTCTTTCTTTTGTATGACTAGAGTTGAATGGAAAAGATGGGTTGGATGCCATTATGTGTTTTGAATGTGAAAGGAACTGTTTTCTTTCAGGAAACTCTTTGGAATTATAATTTTAGGGCATGAATGGACTTTGCAATATATAGGTGCTATGAAGACATTCCCTGTGCATATATTAAGGCACTAGCAAATTATATCTAATGTAATATTAAGCCCCTTCTCTAATGCTGGTGGTAGACATTTCATTAAAAGAGTGGATTGCAGTGCTGTGATGAAGGGAATGGGAGACAGGAGGTGCTGGAAATTGCTTTTTTTTGTATACATCTACTGATGTTCTCCTTAGTCAATATCTGTATTGCCTATTGCTGTTGGCCAGAAATCAATGCCATCAAATGGAATCCAGCTTTCATCAGGCATTTTGACCCTTATCCATAACTCTCTCCTGCTGGTGGGTCAGCAGTGAATAAAGAAAAGGAAGAGTACTTCATAAACATTTCTAATTTTAAGTTTAAATCATGGGTAATTGAAAGTATTTTACCTTTATTTGTAAATTAATTGATCTTTATGATGGATCTTGTGTCATGTTTTTGAGAGTTGAAGGTATATTTGTATTGCTTATTAGCTTATGAGGATCCTAAGAAATTCTCCAGACTTTACTTTTTTATCCTAATGGGCGAAGACATGGCTGTTCTCATTTCTACATGCTCTCTGCCAATTGATTATTCTCAGTCCAAACAAAGACCTTCCTCTTCAAGTCTTTCACTGTCTGAACTCATTCTGTGCAGCAGCAAGGAGCAGATTATAGACAGCAACATTTAAAAAGCCCTCAATGAAGAATGTCTTCATTGTTTTTATAAAATCAATTTACATTTATGTGTTACCACAAAATGTCCAGTTTATCACAGCGTGCAGTCTGTTTTCCTTAAACATTATAATCATAAACATCAACATTAGAGATGAAGCTGGTTAAGAGCCATCTGACCGAATAAAAGTTTTTGGTATTAAAATCTATTTAATTGCCAGTTACTATACTACACACGCACAAATTCCCACAACACTCAGCAAAGCTTTTAAAACAGTGTGCCACACACAGACACACCTATACAGGTGTAGATCAGAATCTACCTCACATCAGCTAGGAACTCTGAATCCATTTATTTTTCTTTATTTAAGATATAAAAATTAAATTATAACAGGTTGCAGAAGCAACATATCCTCCTTTCATTAAAAATATACCTTAAAACTTTGGGCTGAAATTCCTCATTCTGGTATGATTAGATGAAAATAAAAAAATAAAAATAATAAAAATTAAATTAAATTGACAATGTAAGCAGTTGATGTAGACTGCAGTTTGTGTGTTTTCCAGCCTTATTCTCATAAGAGATACTGTGGGTCTCAATGCATCAGTAAGCACAAGTGACACTTTCTGATTTTAACAGGACAGGACACATTGAGGGCACTTGTTTGCATGTTTCTCCCTTCTCACCACATTGCTCCCACTATGCTAGTATTGCAATTCTGGGGAGAAATAAGCTTCTGCATGTAAGATTCAGAACCCCAAAACCTAGCCCAGTTGTTGCTCTCCTAATTCAAGTTTTAGCTCCAGTGGAATTAATTCCTCAACCCATTATCGGAACAATTACAAGCTGCAGTCCCACAGTTATAGACAACATATAACACAAAATAGCACACAGTCTTCTTTCTACTGCAAACACACCAGTAAATCAGTTATGTTGCTAATATTTCTGTTTTAGGCAGCACTGCTTCCCAGCACCTGGTCTTTTAACAATACACAGCTCATTAAATGATGTCCCTTCCCCGTCATGGTTTTTGTTTGTAAACTTTATGGTTCGGGTTTTGAATTTCATACCTCAGATGGTATTTTTTTCTGGAGCGATATAATCACTTAATACTTTATATGCTGACTTTAAATCCCTTTGAGAAACATCTACATAAGAGTGAACCATATACAGGTATCTAGCAAATAAATACTGTGAATAGATTTGAAGTGTCTCTAGGAGTTTCATTTCAAAACAAGAGACCTGAAATATATTTCTGAATAGCCCGTGACATCTTGTCAAAGGCTGGTTACCAGAGTTCTCCCTTGATCGCCATTGTACAGCTGCAGTCCGGCTCACTGAAAATACGGCAGTGTGGCCCTGTTTCTTACGGCACTTAAAGATTTCTTTTCCCTTTTTGCTCATTTTATTATACCCTCTGCAGACGGGGACCCACTTATACCCCCCAGATCTTCCCTTTAAACAGGTACAGGTAGGTAGTCCCTTTCACAGAAGCAACAGACACTAGGTACAGAGGAAGCAGAATTATATTCCCCATGAGCACCAGCTACAGAACTCTCAGTCCTCACATTGCAAACTGCTGATCCACGCACAGCTACCAGGTGCCACGCTAGCAATCACCTTCTGCTTCTGAAACACGTGAGACCAGGAGCAGACAATCCCTGCTAGTATTTTGTGATGTCATGTTCCGTTTTCTACAAGATACAAGATACAAGAGATACAAACTGCTTGAGTGAGCCATACAAACGGGCCTGGTTCTGGCAGGAGATGCCCCCGCCCTGGCTGTTTCACTTAGTTATCGAGTGGAGTGCATCTCCGGTGCATCTGTATTGTTTGTCCATATTTTGTTTTAATTTTTTTTCCTGTTAGGAGTGTGCCCTGATATGGCACAGCCTTAGAAAGTACATCTATATTACAGCTAAAATAAATACAAGATTTTCAACATCCTTGCTTGTCCCACTTTTCCATTTTCTCTGTGGAAACATATATATTTTTTTGTTTTGCTCCCTCCTGCTTAGTGTCTCTAGTCTCAGTGAGCTACCTAACCTCCCACCTCTCACACACAGGTCTCTGGATTTGTAACCACTTCCCCGTTTTTGTCTGTATTGTCCCTGAGGAACTGCTCCACCTCGATGGAGTCCAATTTCACACTGTCTGGCCTCTTCTCCTTGTCCTTGTCCTTGTCTTCTTTCTCACTCTCCTCCTTCAGCTCCTTCCCAACCTCCTCTTCCTCCTCAGGGGGTTTGTTGAGCTGCTCCGTTTCTGTAGCTGTCACGGCCATCTCCTGCTTTACTTCCGGCTCCGCTGGCTTCTTCCCAATGCAGAAGAAATTGCCGCTGGCCAGCACCACAGCTGAGAGTACCACTTCCACGCCGGCCACCATAAACACGAACATGTAACGCTTGGTTGCATCAAGAATCCGCCCTGCAAGTGTAAAGAAAAGATGAAGAGTTGGGTTAATGTACTTCCTTCTTCCACTTTGCACAGGCAGGTAGTTAACCAAGTTAATGACATCGGATGGTTTCAGTACTTAATTCGACACCTTAAAACGGGGAGTGTAGCAATGAATATTTTGCATTTTGTGCTGTAAAATAGGTGTTTATTAATATGTAATAGGTGTTGTTCATATTAATGTTTAAGAGGTGCTGCTGAATTAATCAACCACCAGACTCAACCAATTTCCTCTTCAACAGAGGGTGCCACACTTGTTTTCCTGTTTGCCACGCGTCAAAGTAGAGACGTACGGAGTGTTGTTCTACTCATTATTTACAGGAAAACGTCTGCCTTCTGAGCTGACGGTTTGTGAAAACTGATTAAGGGTGAGGCAGGATTTACTGTTTAAAAGCTGTAGCAGTGCTCCGATTGATCATCTATGAGAGACGAATCTCCAGAAGAGATAAAACTTGGATCAAAGTAAACTATTTGAGGGGCCACTTGAATAGCTCAATGAGTTAGTGTACTTGCCTATGTGCTGGTTGAGTGCCATGAGCACTGGTTTGAGCCTAGGTAATGTCACTATCCGACTGTGACTAGTAACTCCTCAGCAACAGCATGCAATTGGCTGAGTGCTGCTGCGGTTAGGGTGGGATTAGTTGGCTTGTGTGTTTGCAGGCAGTGCTGTCAATGAGAGTCACACCTCTCCTTCAAATGGTGCTGAACCTTCTGCACAGGGCTGTGTTGTTTGTGATGTGTCGAAAGTCAATTGACTTGAAGGTAGGCAGGTCAATGGAGTCTGCCTACACTTCCTCCATCTTTCCTATGTGAGGAAAGTTTCCTATGTTACAAGGTTTATAGGCTCAAACTGAGAGGTGTAGCAAAATTTTAAAAAACAAATCTAAATAAGGGAGGTGGAAGCTGAAAATCAAAGAAAGAGATCAGGCCAATCTCTTGACTGACCTGCAGAGGGTGGTCCAATCAGCACAGCTATGGCCTCCATAAGCAGTACCAGACCAATGGCACTGGGAAACCTCTCTGTGCCCACAATGGCCATGAGCACCTCAAACTGCAGTGCTCCCACCATGCCGTAGGAGATACCGAAGAAGATGCAGAATACCACCAAGTGGGAATACTCAGTGGAAAGGGAGCCGATGAGATCAGCGGTGCCGTTGAAGATCATGGCAAAGCTAAAGAGGTAGACACAGCGTGGACGCACCCACTTCAGTCCTGCAATGATGCCACAAGTGGGCCGGGCAAAGATATCAATGAAGCCGAGGACGGTCAGGAGGAAAGCAGCCTTAGTATCCTCATTGCCCAAGTCTTTGGCATAGCTCACTACAAACACAGGTGGCACAAAGAGCCCCAGCACCATGATGGAGGCTGCAATGGTGTAGATGAGGAAGCCTTTGTCCTTGAACACCGAGAAGTCAAGCAGCTTGTGTGGCTTCTTCTGCACTGCCTTGGCTTCCAGGTTCTCTTGGTCTGCTGCTTTCTTGGGAGCTTCCAGTGGTCTCATCAGGGCCCCGCAGACACAGCAGTTGAGCAGCATGCCCCCCAAGATGAGGAAACCCCCACGCCAGCCAAACTCATGCTGCAGAACTTGCCCCAGTGGGGAGAGACAACAAAGGAAGACAGGACTTCCAGCTGCAGACAGGCCATTGGCCAAGGGGCGTTTCTTGTCAAAGTACCTGTTTAGCATGATCAGAGAAGGCTGGAAGTTGAGAGCCAAACCCAAACCTAGAAAAAAACACCAGCAAAAGTTTGTGGGTAACCAATTTACAGTATACTAGATACGGACTTCCTTAAACCCCAGGTTTAAACTAGGTCCTATTTAAGCTTATTTTTTTATTTTTTAAAACTTTTTAAAACAGAGTCAGCAGAGATCAAGTTACCTCTGGGATGTCCACTACAAGCTTTTTCCCCAAGCACAAAATAATCTTTCCAAACTCATAAAATGCAGCACTGATAAACTGAACTCTGCAGTCTAGGAGGTTGTTTTTCCTGAGCAGAGAGTGGAGAACAGCAGCCCCAGCAGGGACAGAGTGGTTACCTGTGATGACTCCAGTGGTGAGGTAGATATGAATGATGCTGGTGGAGAAAGAAGCCATGATCATCCCCAAGGAAGCAAAGAGGCCTCCCACCATCATCACTGGTCGACACCCAAAACGGTTCACTAACACGCTGCACAGAGGACCTGAGCACAGACAAAGATTTGCACTCAATCTCCAGCACTTACAGGACAGCTGATTAAAATCATCATCAAACCTGGCAAACTTGATGACACTGGCCAAGATTTGAAGTCAATAATGTCAGTCACTAAACTAATTTAAATACTTTAAAAAACAATTCTTCTGAGGTCACTGAAGGGTACAACACACCCTCGTCTTTGTTCAGGTTGGCTCTAATTGATATAATTAGGTATAATAATATAAGGCCTGGATCTGATAAGAGTTTTTCCCACCTCTTAAAAGGTTCAGATGTTTGAATAATGCAAAATGATCAAATTGGACCTCAATTGGGTTTCAATATTCATACTTATTCTAAATAATGTATGTTTTAGAATTTGCCAAGATATAAGATCTAAAAATGTCTGTACCTCGTGACTAAAACCTTTCCAGTAGAAAAGGTTTCTTGTTCAACGCACTGTCCAGCCTTAAATATAAAAAATGACTTTTTCTTTGGCATCGATTGTTAAGACTGAACGTCTCTGCAGCGTCATGGTGAGGGGGGAGAGAGGAGAGCTCACCGGTTCCATACAGCATGGCCAGCAGGATGGAGGAGATCCAGGCTGTGTCGCTGTAGCCGACGCCAAACTCACGGATCAGCTCCTTGAAGAAGACGCTGACAGCCTTGGGAAATGCGTAGGAAAAGCCTGTGATGATGAAACCACCAAACAGGACTGCCCAGCCCCATCCTCCATCAGGAGCCTTCACCCCACTGGGGCCATCATCCAGTGCGACTGCGCCCATGGTTGCCCTTCTATCTCACTTCTGTGGGGAAACAGAGACTAGTGACAGTCACAGGAATGATTGCACGAACCACCTCCGTCCTTCATTTTACTACCCGGTTTGCAATATTTCACTCTTGTTACTCTTCAGTGTGTTGATCATTCGATAAAGGACTGAAATTATTCAGACAATTCTTGATCTTCAAAACCAATCAAATGATAGCTGGCTTTGTTTTTTATACATGACTGTCAATACAGTAACAAAGCAATACTTTACTTTCTATCGAGATCAAAAGACATCTGAGGTGAAGCTAATTTTGCAGTGAGAACAAAGTATTTTCCTTAGTGGCAATGAATATTTACACACAATGCAAACAGTTAGCATTTCCATCTTGTTATTGGTATTTATTGCTATGTCAGACTAAAAAAATATGTTAAATGCAGGACAAGTTTAGGATCTTAATCACTTTCGCCAAAGTGCATTTCATGGGTCTTGATAAGAGTTCTGAGCGATGCTGAATAAGAGTGAAGATTATTGCTGTCTGACCAAGTAAAGTTCAGTGGATCCCTGTTGGTACAGCTCATTTTTTATTTAAGAGACCTTTGTCTAAGGCAGTTCTAACTGTGCTGTATTGGAGAATGTTTTCACATGCATCACAACTGCCAGACTGTGCACAGCAGAAATATGATCTTTTCCTTACTGCAGTGTCTGGCTCCGGCTCTCTTTACACTGTTCGTCTAAAACAGCACAGTACTCCTAGCCTGCAGTCACATTACTCCACCCCAACTCAGCTGTCAGCACTTGCCAGGCAACATTAAGTGGGTTGGAAAACACTTGATAAAAAAATCGCCCGTTTCACATTCAACAGCTAACAACACTGCCTTTAATTGAATACCCATATTGAAGAATGACATAAAGGACATCTACTTATGCACATAAATGTACATACACAAATCTGCAGAATATTCTGTGCTTAAAATAACTTCAGACAAGTCCTTTTTTAAATGACATGGATGTTTTACATTGGCATCTGGATGAATGCGCTTATGAAGTAATTGAAATCAAAATTCTTAGATTATCTCTTCCATTTACCCTGTCTCAGCTGCAGCTCGGAAAGGTGTTTTGGTCCATAGTCGTCTATGGTGCCAATTTACAAGGAACCCAAGAAAAACAGGCAGAGGAAAGTCAGCATTCCTTTTTGTTCATATCCTAGAGACATTTTACTTCGCATTGAGATGGATGCAGCACCAAAATACGGGCAGGTGTTTTATAAAGGCAGGTTTTACAACCCTTAAACCCTGTAAATCCTAGTTAGAGACTTCTTGCTAAGTAAGGGACATAAGTCTGCGTGCATGCTAGTGTCTTTTGTGAAGGGGCTGTAAAAACAGTGATTTATACTGTACATAGGCATTTCTCTGGTGACCAAAGGCAATGCAGCAGAGGTCAAAGGTAAGGAAAGTAATCAATAAGAATCAATGTTTTCAGTTCAGGCAATGAGATAAAATAATTTAAAAAGCCAAACAGAATGTTAGGATACATAGTTAAAAGTGTAGAATTCAAATCAAGGAATGTTACATTAAAACAGTACAATACAGTTTACTGATAAGACTAAAAAGAGAATACAGTGCACAAGTTTGAGTCACAAGATACAAAAACATATTTCTGATCTGGGATCACCAGATTTACTCTCGAACACAAAAGGACTGGCCTGCACTGACAGGCTAAAGAACCGAACCCCTTTAAGTCTTGAAGAGAGAAGGCCAGAAGGTGATCTGATAAAAGCATTCAAAATCCTCAAGGGCACTGACAAAGTCAATCCCACAGACTTCTTCAGAATCAGCAGAGAAACGCGATTCAGAGGACACAGGCGGACACTACAAGGAAATGCATTTGAAACTAAGAACCTAGGAGGCACTTGTGGAACTGGGCCATGTTGTTAAAACTGATATCCTGGCTTCTTCAAAAAATGGCTAGATGAGATCCTCAGCTCAATAAGACACAGCAAAAAAGCCAAATGAGATAGATGGTTGATGGGTTCTCTTTTCTAATCATTCCATTATGTCTTTATTAAGCACAGTAATATTCTAGCTAAATATACAGTACCAGTCAAACTAACCTGGTAAGTAACCTAGGCTTCAGACTGAAATCTGCTTGCTTTAGGTGTTCATTTTAATGGAAATGAAATGAAAAATTAACATTTTCAATGCATTTCACTTAAGATTATAAGAACACATATCATGTAATTAAATATTAATTAGGCAAGTTTATACAGTTTAAAGCACAGATAATCATGAAAAACCTGGTTTCAATGAGGTGTACTCAAGCTTTTGACGGGTCCTGTATATACTGTTTAAAAAATCAAATGCTGTTAGAATATAGCTGACCAAAGCAAAAAAGACACATGTATAACAATATTTCACCTCATGTTGCCTGAAATGACTCCTCATTCCCTCTCACTACTGCATGCCAATGTCTCTAGAAGTTTAAATGATATTTTTTCATGCATTCAGGCCTAGAATAAGGTCTACCTACTTTTTCTTTTTTGGCTACTGTTCTTTTGTTGCCTTTTATCCTGTTCCTTCCTTCTTGCATTACTGGTGCTACTTTTGCTTTCTCTGGAACTTCAACAGCCAGCCCCCCAAACTCCTTGAATGCCCACCACCCCAGTGACAATACAAGAGAGATCCTGAAGAATAAACGCACAGGAGGACCCCTGACGTTCACACCCAGAGAGCTGGCGGACGCCACAGTTGGGTCCAGAGCACTAGAGTGCATTTGCATCTATTAATTATCGACCCGTTCTGGGCCGCCTCCCTTTCCAGGCTCCGCTCGGAGTGACAGCTCTTCCGACAAGATGCACAGCCCCAGTGGCAGGCCGGGCAGCGGCCTGGCATGCCTGTCATTCCCCTGGCTCTTATCTCCTGGCCACGGCAGGGAGCTGTCAGCAGCCAGCCATCAGCCAACACCCTTTTGCTATAATTACGCTACGACGTCTATGAGCCACAAATGTTAGGTAGGTTGTAGCCCTCTGTGCAATTCCTTATTGTATACCAGGGCAAACTGGCCGCTAAGAAACTTCAAAACGGTGCCAAAAGAGACAGGGATACCTCTCTGCAGATAAAAACAGACTCCCTTGGGACAGGGAAGTCAAATATATCATTGTACAATAATACAGTCTGGCCTTTAAATGTAACAGCAGGGATACTCACCCCAAGCTATAGCACCACAAGGATCTTGGGAAAAAAATGACCAGCCCATAGAGATACTATTTTTTCCTTAAACGTTTGGTCTTAATGGTGACGTCCGTGCCTTTTCAGTTATATGTAGTTCGTATAGAGATCATAGAGAAATAATAAGCTCCCTTAGGAGTGAAAATGATTAATTCATCGCTAAATCAGGGGGTAATGCAGTAGTAATTAAACATGAATTAGATTGCAAACAACATTGTAGATAGTTCGCGTTATGTGGGATGGAGGGGAGGCTGACACTCCAAGGATAGCCTGTCCTTGACACTTATTTTACCCTTTAGCCCCCTGCATGTGATCATCTGTCTGAACTTTTCATGTGTCTTTGTGTATTTATCTCTGGCTCTCCTCCTGTAGTCGTTAGCTAAAAATTGCCCCCTCCCTTCCTCCCACTGCCCCTGCAGAAGCTCCCCTTAAAGAGGGTGTCTGGATAATAATCCTGCTCCTAAAATAAGACCTTGACATTTCCTTTCAACCAGGGTCTAAACCCACACAGGAAGCCATGGACTTGATTACCTTCTGCTTTTGCTGGTTGTCCACGCTATTCAATGAGCCACATTCTTACAGTTCTTTAGAGGTCCTCTAGAAAGCCTGTGCTTTTTCTTAATTGATTTTAATTAAATCTTGATAAATGGCCTCAGAACATAATGTTTACAAGTCTTTGCAGCTACAGTATAAGCACTTCATGTTCATCTCAGACAACTAGTATGCTTTTTTTGGAGCCTGTTGTATCATTTTCATAACCAACAGTGTATGTGGTGAGACCAACAAAAAATCAGTCTTACAGCAAATTAAGTTAATTGATGACCAAAAATATTAATTCAGCTGTATGTTTTTTTTAATTATTGAGTAGTGCAGAATTACATTAAAAGCAGGTAGATTAATCTCTCTCATCTATCTCCATTGTTGTAAATCAGCACACAGATATGTCACAGCTGAAAATGGTGACTGAGCTTTTAGAATAAATAAATAAAGCCCTGGTCTGCATTCAAGCTGTAACATTGATTAAATTAGATGCCATGGCTGTTACTCTGTTCTGTGTGATGTTTTCAGACTCTCAACCAAGGGCAACAAGAGTATCCAAACACACTCCATAGAAAGGCAGTCCACTGCTACTGCTACTATAGTATTGTTGGTCAAATACAGTTTAATGTACCCCTTGCAAGAAGAAAATCTTGTGGGGATTAGGGGAGCTTTCAAGGCAACCAGCTCCTTCATCTCAAGCTCTTTATGATGTCATCCTTATCTGCCAACAGGATGTGATGGAGGATGAGCCTCAGACTGTGTCACAGACACAGGGCTTTGAGATCAAATCAAATTCTTAGGTATGGCAGGTGTGGGAATTTTGGGATCAGATTTTTGGGAAAAAAGTTGCTATAATCCCTTCAGTATTTCTTGTAGAGTAGCACTGTTTCTGCTTTTCCTGCTGACACAGGAGGCACAGTCTGTCCTTTCTGGGTAGCCAGGTATGCCTGTGTTGCCCTCCAAGATCACCTACTGTTTGAACAGTAAACTATTAATCCCTTCTGCTAAAGAGAGATTTACACACACTACAGAGCCCCATATTCCCATCTGGCTTTTAACTGGACCCCATGAAGCTCACCACAGAAAACTCACCGAGCCCCTTCTTTATTGTTATAATTTACTACTGTCAAGTGGAATATCAATGTCTGCTGGCCGTTTGTTTCAACTTCACTTACAAAGCTGTAAACATAAAAGAAGGACGGTACTCTCTAAAGACTGTCATAACTCATCAAAAGTCATCAATCAATTTTTACGATATTTTTAGTTTAAAATTTTAAATGGCAAATAAATGCATGATAAAAGCCACATTAACAGGTAGTGATAGGATTATCGGAATATCTGACAGTGTCACTTTCTTTCCTTGACTGTCTTAGTACAGAAGACTGTTTTTTAATTTTCCGGAAAGTCACACCGGCTAACATTTTGGTTATGACTGAGGTAAAGTACTTAAAAGCTATTGAGAAGGCTATCAAACCATCTCTGACATCACAGTGAGAAGTTTCAATATGTACACTCTGAGCAGTATGTAATCGCATTTAATTTGTTCCTCTAATACAAACATTGAAACAAAGAGTCACTATGACTGTGCAGACTCTGGTGCAGTTAGCCTTCAGGTTCCAACAGGTTTCTTTGTAAATGTTATTTTATCTCATAAGCAACGCAACTATTTATTCCTGCATGGAGCTTGGCAAACTACAGCTGATGAGAGGACGAACTACAGAGATAATCCACTTCGCTGAAAATGTGACACAGGGAGGGAGGAATTAGAAGAGATTATTGGACATGCCCTCATGATTAAAGCTAGAAAAACACAAACAAACAAGTCTCTAGAGAACTGTCTTTTTTTTTGCATTTCATTTACAAGTTTTTATTTTCATTACTTCAAAATCAAGATGTATCCCCGATTATGTCTCAGGCCTCCCAGAAAGCCTCACTCTTTCAACACCATTAGAATTGTCCACTTAGCATCACTAAGACAGAACCAGAAACACTGTGTATCGACAATCCAGGTATATTCTTACACAACACCAGGACCAAGTTGATCCACACAAGACACATTTCAGATTCTCTCTAGTTGATACCAGGATTTCAGGCTGATGGCAGGAATCTGAACTCTTCTCTATCCCGACCCTAATCCAGCATTTATAGATCCCTCATGGAAGCCAGCAATGTCGCTTTCACAATTATTAGTTTACCTGATGCTTTTGCCTAAAGCAACTTACTTTATATCCATGCACAGAGATTTACCAGAACAATCTGAACGAAGTACTTAGCTGAAGTGTACAAAAGCAGTGTCCAATGTCCAGTGGGACTAAAACTCAAACCTTCCAGTTACAAGTCCAGAGCTACATGATTTTGATGGTGATTTTCCCATTCCATGGAAATGGGTAGGTTTCAGTGTATAGCAGTTTGATCCATTCCAGGCTTTACAAATTGCAGGACACTGCACAAATTGTGCTGAAGAAGCACTTTGCATGCCTATCTCAATGCGAATTCCTAAAATAACATAAGAAGCTTGAAATATTCAGCACCTGTTGATACCGGTTTACATAAGAGCCTAAAGCTTGTAAATCCTGAAACGGATCAAACTGCGGTGCCAAGGGAGTCCTCTCTCTTCCCCTGCATGTCTTCAGTCAGCTGGTTAATCATCATCCCCTGCCTTAGCAGTAAATGATGCAATGTCTGTCTTTGCCAGAGACATACTCATAGACAGCCGTTCAAATCTAAATGAGTCTACGGTCCCAGATCATTATGAAGACCCCCCTGTTATTCTTATGATATTCCAAAGATTCTTCTGAAAATAATATATGGCTCCCACTGAATATGAGGTGTTGTGCATTTAACCTACCCTCTAATTTGACATACAAACCTTAAATCTAAGTCTCTGGAGGACAAATTAAAACAAGGTGGATGAATGCATATGTGGTTCAAGTAGCTTTGAGGTCCACCACACACACACTAACCACAGAAGTAGTGACAAACGGTGAAACCTCCAATAATCTAAGCACTTCCAACCAGTGACTGTGACTCAATTACTTCTGTGCATGACTGTGGGCTGGTTTCGTCTATTCATCACATTATCTCAATCCTGCGTACTAAAATTCATATTTTCAACATTCTGTGAGCAAAGGGCAGAGATTGCGATTTCAATGGATTGGTGTACTGTACCTCCAAACCTAGAAACCCATTTGAACCAATTGCACCTGCTAACTCACCTCCAGTTGATTACTACTGTTACAATGACCATTACTAGCACTGTTCTTAACAGTACAACAAAGTTCGCTGAGGTCAAATCCCATTAAGATCCTATTAATGGAGCAAGTTCAAAACTAAAGAACCATCCACAAAACTCAGATTAAAGTCACCCCAGGTTCCTTCATGTAGGAAAAAGCAGTCTGATGAAGAAAACTGCGAAACTCAGCAGAGTAAACACGGCACCTTTTCCTATTTCAAATCCAAATTATAAAGCTGCGACAGGGGACTCAGTGGTGACAAATGTGCACAGCCCACGCTGTGATTGAAGAGCTGCCACTTGTGAGATAAGAGACATAATTGTTATATAAAAAATAAATACTACAGCATGTCCAATCCACTACACTCCAAAGGCAATCCTGGGATGTTCACGCAGTCTGAAATAACTATTGTGACGAACCACAAACCACCATGTAGAAGTAATGCTTCTACATTTACCTCCGCTTTGAAAAAGTACACACCCCCTTTAGCACTCTTCCGGCTTCATACCTGTCCAGTGGCATTAACATCACAGTTGCGTTAATGCGGGTATGTCCATAATTATTGCATTAGTAGATTTAAATAGGTTCATGCCTCCATTGAACTGCTAACAAAAGGTTGAGAAGTCTTCTAAACAGGATTGATTTATTAGGAAGAAACTTACAAAATCCATTTTATTCGTTTTTCAGCTAGACTGAAATGTTTAGCCAACAGTAGTCTATAGAAGAACATGTCAGCTGGAGAATATTCATGAACCTTCAGCTTTTCTGCATGACAAAAGGACATGAAAACTACAGCAGGT